CCTGACAGTTTAATTCTTTGAAACAACAGTATGTGAATGAAAACTCTCTGGAATGCTATACTGTGTAGAAATGCAATTCAGAAATGAATGTTTTTCAGCCTGGAAGAGTTGAAGTTCCAGAGAGGGCAGCAATGCTATACAGAAGGTATATGCAACAGCAAAAAGAGATGAGCCAACACTCAAAGTGAAATTGGACATGAGAGAGGACATTGAGGACCAGGAAGCAAGACTAAGAAGCTTTTATAAGGTCCATAAAGTTGATTGGGCCCGACCACTCCATTGCAAATTGGAAAGTGAATTAATTAACCACTGTGTTATTTGCGAATTACCTCTTTGGTTTTCCAAGTGCCATGTAATAAAGAAGTTACTCAGATTTAACTTGCTGTGGCCAGATTCTCAACTGTTTCTATCACAGAGTTTCTCCTGAACCTTAAGTCTTTAAATAGATTTTATGGTCATAAATTAATGAGTCTTAATTTTATTATAATATTTTTTGGGAGCCTTTTTTGCATTTATAAGATATGCCAGCTGAAGAGAGACATGAAATGTTGTGAGGAGTGGAGGACGACAAGCAGCAAAGGGCTGAGGTCAGATTCAAAGCCATGGACCCTGTGATGAGGACGGCCTCCTATAGTACATGGGGGAGTGGTACATAACCGCCAGACTGGATGTAGGACACCTAGTTGCATGACAAATATAGCATTGTATGTCAAAGTGAGAACAGCAGAGCTGCTTTTCCCAAGTTTCCTTAATGCTTCATGGGTTGCAAGCTTTACTTTAAGGTTGTCCTTAAGTTTTTGCCCGATGGAAAAAATGATGATTTTCTGTCAAATCCTTAAAGGCTTAAAAAGTTTTTCAACAACCCTGCACTATGTTGGCTAAACCCACTGTTGATCTATTTTTAAAGTAGTTTGAGATTCTGTATGCATTTTAATTTGTTGTTACTTTTGTTCTATGTTTTAGGCGATGTAGCCATTGGAGAGGGCGTGAAATGCCATTTCTTCAGCCTTGTGATGCACAAGTTGCAGAATGGATTCGTTATGGATTTTGGCAAGTCTTTTGCACACGTATCAAGTTTGTCTAGTTATCTAGCTAGCTATGATGCCCTTTATCACAACATGTCTCAGAGGAATAGAGAGAATTAACTTACTAGAAGGTAGCAAAGAAGGGTCCCCATACTGAATGGGTGAGCATACAATATGTGCCAGGTGGCACAGGATCAACAAAAAGTTATAAAATGTGTAAATCTCTCTAATCCCCATAATTAAAAAAGATTCGTAAGTGTTGTCCCATGCTTTTGTTATCTCTCCATGCAGGAAATAGAACTGGCACTATGCTTTTTGAGGGTCAAGCTGACCATCTCATTCCTTCCACCTCCCAAGTGCTTTTGCAGAGTGACTTGTTCAAGGTGGCAGGAAGAATTATAGGCCACTCCTTCCTCCACGCGTGGTCCAGCACTAACTGGTGTCAGCCAAGCTATCCTGCATGTGTTGCTAGGTGGTTCCCTGAGACAGTGATAATTATGCTGGAAGATGTGGCAGATATTGACATCAGGGAGACAATACAGCTGGTAGGTTTGCAATATAATGGAATGTTTTCATGCTGCATGAGAACATGAAAAAGCATGTCACCCAATTTATATGCCAACTTTATCCATTAAGCTTACGGTAGCTGATCACTCCAAGAAGACGGCTGATGATGAAAAGAAAAAAGAGCTGACAGAGGAACAAATGCAAACTGTTAACCAGTTGGCATTATCCTGGGATCTGCAGACACTAACAGCAACTAACCATGCCTGGCTCTTACAAAGTCTTCTTCAGCATGCGGTAAACTCAAATGAAAAATATTATTATTATATTATTGATATATCTCAAATATTTTCTTTATGGACTATACAATATGTTACAACAACATTATGCATTTCAAGCCATCCTAGGTGCAAATGCACTTGTGGATTTTGTAATTCCCTTTATATATCTTTGTATATTTGAAATTCAAAATGTTTGATTCCAAGTAACCCCCCAAAAATAAAAATAAATAGACATGCATATCCACAAGCTGCTGACCAATAAAATAATTAAATCAAGAAAAATACAGGTCAGTATACTTCAGCACTCCTTCTCTGCTGTTTATTTGGACAACTACTGGAGTAATGTATCAAGCTACATGCTCTTCATCAGTGTATTCCAAATAACACCAATCCTTACTCCTTGCAATAATTAAACAACTGTCTTAAATGTAGGTGCTCGGAAGAACGTCGAGGCAAATTAAACAACTGCGCGAGGGACTGAAGGATTCCCAGCTATGGGCGTTGTTGGAGGCGAGGCCTCCATGTTGTACCAGTAATCTTTCCACGCCAATCAATGGCTGAATGCAGTGCTCAGGTATTCCATGTTATTAACAATCTTTTTTAGTTTTGTACTCTTTTCAATTCATTCACATTCAACCCATCTTTTGTTGTAATTGGATCTTATTAAATGTTGCACTTAGATGGTTCTCAACAACATCATCTGGCCTGGAGAAGGGGAAGAGGAAGATGAAGATATGTGCCCTGTTGCCGTTAGGTGCAAAATTGCTGGCTACTTACGCCAGTTTGTGGAGACAGGTATAATAGAATAGAATAAATCTTTGTTGTCCACCTGGGTTGTAAATTTGCAGTTGGCTTTCCTGATATAAATGGCCACATAAAATAATAAAATGGAAACATTCAAACTGTTAACAAGACAGACAAGCAAAGCTACATGTACACATTAAAACTGCTCATGTGATGGTTCAGATCTCATCAGTCATTTTGTGAGGTTAAGAATGTTTATTGCACTTGGGATAAATTATTTCTCTAATATATTTGTAGTTACCAGAAGGTCTCCATAGCGCCCCCCTGAGCTTAAAGGCTCAAACTGGCAGAAGAGACAATGAATTATCTGCTAGGATATTTCCTGCTTTCTTCCCTGTCCTGTCAGTAAATAGTTGTTGACGAGAGTTTTCTGTGGTTTATCCAATATTTTAGGAACAAGCCCTGTGTTGATAATGAGATCAATGAGCTTTTTCAGAAGAACATGGGTCTTTATTGAATTAAAGGCCAAAAGCAATTTCATATCACCAATGCAGAAAGTATACTGTTTTTGTTCACTAATGAAACATTTGGTTATCACATGACTAGATGACATTTTGAGTTCAACATGATTTACTCTCAATTAAGCCCATGTTTTTTTCTTCTGGCATCACTTGTCTTGCTTACATTTTGTTATTCCCGTAATTCCCAATATCTGCACTCAAAGGCCGCACAATGTCTGTTGCTACAAGACATACATAAAGAAGGAAATGTACTCTGCAGATGTACTATTACTATTTACTATTCCAAACTGTCTCAACAACAAAAATGTATCGATGTAACATTTCCATTATTTGCTTCCCTCTCAGTGCCTGAAGAAAAAAGAAAGGCGCTAGTTAAATTCTGGGTTGGCTGGGAGCTGCCCATGGATGAAATGAAAGTGGAGGTTGTGCATGCAGATAATCCATCATCTTCGACTTGCTTCCAGATCCTGCGCCTGCCTGGTCACTATACCAGTTATGAACAGTTTCATGATCATCTTGAATGTTGCATTGCAACTAATGATTGTGGGTTTGGGCTTATATAAAGACTGAAACATCATGCTGTTGTTTGGCCACACAACAGAACTTAGCCCATTCATGTTAAGAAAATGTGTCTAAACTAATACTCGTTCCCAGTATTTTCTTGCATAGAGGCTTAATTATTTGTCAATAGCCATATCTGTTTCTTTTCGTTCCTGAAACGTTTTTTAAAAGGAGTTTAAGGGGTTGATCTTTATTTTATTTTCAGCATGCAATTCTTCAGTCTGGAGTGACATGTTTGTTTTTTGTCATTGGATGTTTTAAAGGCTCCCTCCAGACATGTATTAAAGAAATTCTTATAATGGAAAGACGAGATGTCTCTTATTCAACGGAAAGTACATTCTAATTTGCTTTGGCGGTTTGTTTCCAATGTCAAACTGAAATGAATATTGGACCAGGCCTGGCCCCAAAATAATTTATATCAAAAATAGTGCTTGTAGGCCCAAACCTGAAGACACCTTTTAATACACTCAGGCAAACGTAACACTTTCAGTAGATACATATGGAAAAGTACAATACACAATAATTGTCACAATAAATACAGCAATGGGTGAAATAAGCGTATTCAAAGAATGATGTTCAATTGAATATGAGGATTTAACATAATTCATTTTCCATTCTCACTTTTATAGTTCATAGCACATCAAGGTAATGAAAACATATTTTCAGTCATCTTGTTTAATTCTTAAAACCTTCATTGTGCCTGCTATAATGTAACCTTGCAACAAAACAATGCAGCACTGTGACTATTATACAAACTCTCAGGGAAGGGAAGGAGGGGGGGGTGTTGTCCATGCCGTGTAACCAGTGTCCAAACCCAAAGGGTAAGGGCTTACTTTACATATAGCCAATGCTGTTCATGTACTGAAGTGCAGCTACATAAACATCAGCACCAAGACTTGTTGATCTCATTGGATCCACAACAGCTTTTAGTCCTGCAAATTCCACTGGGTTTAGTGGGCACTCAGTTTCAGGAACCTGGATACCGGAGTTGGGGTCACTTTGGACAAGACCACTGCTTTCCCAGTCTATATGAGGAATGTCTAGATCCTGTAAAATAAAATTAATCACAACAAAAAAAGGACTGAATTAGAGGTCATAAGTCAAACTACTGTGAGCATCAAAGACACAACTGCCAGTTGTGTAAAAAATGGGACAATTAATCAGAAACTAGAAGGAAGTGCCTGCTCCGTACATGCAATACATGCAGTAGAAGCAAAAATTTACCAAAGCTTTGAAATGCCTCATGCAACCTTTCAGATGACAATACATTTTTTTAGATAAGTGGATTGCATGGGCTGCAGTGTCCTTTTAAATGCGTTTGATGCAGGAAAGAAGAGTAGGTGGAGAGAAAGAGAGAGAGAGAGAGTAGGAGAAGAGAGGAGGGGGAGATTGCTTATATAGAGAGATGCCAACCTGGTCACACTCCTGGGAATGATACTCCTGCCCCAAGTGCCACAGCTGATTGGGGGAGAGGTTCCCCTCTGTTGAAAGGGGATGGTCATCCCAGCCATCTGTGAATATGTTGAGGTGGAGCTGAATGAGTGGAATGAAGGCATAGTGGCAGCAAAAGATGTGCAGGCTATTGGACAAATCAAGATGGGCCTCCTCTTCAAGCTGGTGTAGGACATCGTAGAAGCGGCCGGTGACTGCAGTGAACACGTCCCGCCACAACCTCTCAATTCTGTTTCAAACAAATGTGATGTGTAAGTTAATTAAGCATAAATTACACAGAACTATCAACAATCTTATTTTAAAAACAGCTCATTAAAAGGAAAAATATATTTGGTATCAAACAAAAGAAACATATAAACACAAATATAAATAGTATATACCTATGCATACACAACTTGTGCAACATAAATGCATGTATGAAGCTTTACTTGAAAACATACAAACACACAGGGGCAAATAATTCTCTTCGTCAATCTTTGTTGGATTAAGTTTGGACAGTGTACCTTCAATCAATCAATCAATCAAACAAACCTTGCTATCAGACAAGGCACAAATCCATAGCAACATAATTCATGCATACAATATAGTACCGATAACGCTGAACTCGCTGTACCAGTAGTATATTTTTGTCAAAGCAGAAATGGCTTTGTTTGACTACAATAAAAGGGGAACTCTCAGTGTAGCTGTGTAGAGTCAGCACTGCCCAGATTTATACTTTTCTATGTTCATGTGAGCAGAGGGGCTAGTTCTTGTTTGAGGTGAGAGCAACATGTTGTCTTGGTGACATGAATACATTTGTCTTAATCACATATATCAGTAACAATTTAGAATTATAGATGAAAAACTTGTTTAAAGAAACTCCTTAGCAGATTACAAAGAAAATATTGGTCTATTTAATTATTGGCGTTGAGACAAGTGAACAACAGGTCACCAATCACACATTTGAAATTTTATGTGCCTTTTTATATGCATATTTATCATCACCTCTGATTGTGAACGCTTTTGCCTGCAATGAAGCTACTCCTGCCTGTTCCCTGGACAGAGAACATAAAACGAGCCACATCAACATTCTCCACTCCATGATCACCCCGGAGCCTGAGAAACCACAAACAAAGCAGTCAATGAACGGTACACAGTGCTTCTACGATACCTATTTTGTTATAAATACAAATTATGCTATATCTCATTTGAACAGATCAAGACCCTATGTTGAATATTTAAGTGATGTTACAAATGACAGAGAGAAAGCACAAAAAAATTGCTTTATTTTTTTTACCTCAGTGGCAAACCAAAATTCTGCACTGCTTCACTGAAGAAGGCCAGGGTTGTTGATGCCAGATTGTTGTTTGTGACACGTAGATACATGATCTAGATGTAAGAACACAAATCAGAGAAGGTAGTGTATTTGTATGATCTCAAGATTTTATTGTTAATCCTGCCTCATTCTACATATTACCAATTGTATGCACAGGGTCCCACATTTTTAACTTACTCAAAATGCTTAGTTTTCTTAAATGTTGTTGTTGGTGTCTAATAATCATATAATAATGTTGTTATAGGACTATCATGTAGGCATAAGATCATTCCATATATCACTACAATAATATGGCAAGTGACAGTTGAAAATGTTCACATCCTAATCATTTTTCAATTATTTTACACTCTAGGGTAGCAACATTGTATTCAAGCAATTTTTTTGCTTGTTTTAAATACTTAAAGGTGCAATATGTAACTCCATAGCATTTAAATTGGGTACTGCATTTCAACTTAAAAACATCAGATCAGAACAAAAACAGAGCATTCAGGACCAGAATCTAAAGTTAGAAGGAGGACATACTGGCTGCTGCATTGTTGTCAGAGAAGCCAGCACTTTAACATAGCATGTTTCCTTAATGTCTGATCATATAGTAAGATCACTTTATCATTTCATTCAGGAGATTTATTAGACATTGCCCCTTTCACTAACGTAGTAGAATGATAATTTCTTACAGTATCTTATGCTCCATACCTTTCTTGAAAAGCCATCTATCCCTCCAAATATCACAATGTTGTACCTTGGTTGATAAAACATTTTTTACACACAAACACTATGTGCATTGTGTACTGTTTTTCTTCTTTTTACTTACCGTATCAATTTGTGATTTGTATCGATGTGCATCAATGACTTGGGGCTTGGGACAGAGTATGTTCTTCTTACCACAACGTAGCTGTGACATCCTGAAGACTATGCTGGCAGTGTCTATTCGGTGCATCGAGGACCGTACCCTCTCCCACTGCACTCTGTGTCTCTGCGCTCTAAGTAGACCCATCATTATTCTATACCCTGCATTTGGGTTGCTGGTATGGATCACTGACACTAAGGAGTCCAGTTCTGCATCAGTCAAGCTGCTGTACATTTCCCTGACACTTAATCCCCATTCTGACATGCGCCTATGTATTGTGAACCTAGATACCCCTAACAGCTGGGCAATACATGTCACAGGTAATCCTAAAGTGAGAAGGTAGGATGTATAGCTTTCTGAAATTATCGTTCTTGGACGACCAATCCCCCCCTTCTCATGGGTAACAATGATTGTTGTTTCCTTTTTATTTTGGTTGCAGGCCATCCGGTGGACTAGAGTGAGTGCATTAAATAGATCTTGAGGAATGTCAATCTGGCTTGAGACAGCACTGAGAATGACCAACTCTTGAGAACATACAAATTCTAAAAAGTCAAGATCAAGAGGAACTCGATTAAGCCAGCTTGACAGTCGTGTATGGAGCCTTTCTAACAAGTTGTTGAGCAGCAGTAGCTGGGGGAAAAAAATCATGAACAAGTTATAAATATTTACTCTGGATGCAATTACATGCATTTTTCACATACCGCATTGACTTTATAAACAACATAAACATACATAATGACATCAGATATTAAGGCCAATTTTTAAAGACATCATAGAGTTATGAGTTGACATACCAAAACAAAAAGTTAATGGAAGTGTGGAATAAAACTTACACTGGACTGTTGTGCCATGGTGGATTGAAAAAGAGGCCGTTAGCATCCAACTCCACTTGCAGCAACAACCTCAGCAGCTTGTAAGCTTTGTAAGCATTTCTACAGGTACAAATTTGTTTTGCTACATACGTCTCGCAAAATGTGTTGCAAAACTCAAGCAGCGCAGATTCACGTGAGAAAAGTAGTAAAAGTTCACTTTTCTTTCCTTCACGCTCTCACATGTCATTCTACAAGCTCTCACATGTCATTCTACAAGCTCTCACATCACATTCTACAGGCTCTCACATCTCATTCTACAAGCTCTCACATCACATTCTACAAGCTCTCACATCTCATTCTACAAGCTCTCACATCTCATTCTACAAGCTCTCACATTTTGCAACATATCTACCTTCATATTTTTACAGTCAATAGAGAAAGCTTCTCCTACCACAGCAGTTGTAACTTCAGGGTGCTGCATCATTCCATTCATTACCACGTGCTCGATAACATCGTAGCCAATGATTGGTGGTTCTGCTACTCCTGGCTCATCAGAGACAAGAATTGGCACAAGTAGCTCTGGCTGCTGGCCTTTGTTTGATTTCAACTTAAACTTCAGTTCAACCCAACCTGCAAACGGTATGGGTGTCTGGTTTGCAGCTTTACCAACAAGAGTCTCATCTTCATCAAGAAGCTCATCCATGCCTCTTAACCTGGTGTGTGGAAGACAGGACTTTCTCCAGATTTCATTGATGATGGTTACCTGTGATCCTGTGTCCCACAGAGCTCGTGTTGCTACGCCATCAAAGAAACAATCCACAATGCACTTTTTCCCGATGAGAGCCTTTAACTTGGCTTGGCAATGTAAGGAGAGATGGCTGGCATAAGTAGCACCTACAGTCTGTTGAGCCTCCCCACTTTTCTCCAGCTCCGCCTCCAGCTGCCTGATGCGATCACACAGAAGGTTGTGCACTCAGTCTTCTGGTTCAGCTTGGCTAGGAGTCAGTGGTTCTTGTGATTTGACAGTCTGTATTGTCACGTTCATGCCGTCAGATTTCCCTACCAGTCTCCTTTGTCCTCTCCAGCCTCTAGAAAAGTGCCCTGACTGTCCACACTTGAAACAGTGTTCACACTGGTCACCTATTTCTTGCTCCCTACACACTTTACATCCTCTCTTAAAACTTGTTTTATTTTAGCGGGTGGGCCCTTGAGGGTTAGCTATGCTTTTTCTAATTTCAGCAATCTCTTCTCTAAGCAACTCAACTGTTTTATAAAGTTCAGAATCCCTCGAGCTAGTGACAACAGGTGCTTTGCGACTTTAAGGCTTCATCACTTCAGTTGACTGCTCTTGAACCCCTATGCTGGATTTGGCTACACCCTGACCCTGCTGACTGTTTTGCATTTCTGTCTGTAGCTCATTTACTTTTGGACCTTTGCTGCTTGTGTTCTTCCTTTGCTTAGACTGTCTTTCTGACTCAACACTAGCTGCTTCATTCATTTTGTCAATAAGTACGTCATCTGTCACTCCCTGGTCATCAAGAAACGGCTTAAACTGAAACTATGGTCACTTAACAGTCCAATACTGACAGATCTTAAGAACTTCTGTATGAGCTCAGGGCTATACTGTTCCCCTGATTCCACTTCTCTTGAAGCAAGTAACAGTCTCTCTTTTCACTCGATGGCTCTAAAGAGAAAGTTTTAAGGTGACTCACGACTGTCCTCTTTAAAATGTCCTTTTAATATAGATTTTAACTGGGAAAGCGTGAGGTCACTTTTAATCTCTAACATGTCTCGAATACTCAAACCTGGGCTGTTCGACTTGATCACTGCCTCCATCACTTCAGCCTCGCTGTGTCCCTTACTCAGGCCTCTGTCAATTTGATGCATCAGGTTTGTGAATGAGAGTCTGTCTTTGTGTCCTTTTTCCCCAATCTGGCCACAAATCTTGAATTCTCTTCTTATTGTCACTTCAGGGAGTCTGTTCACAGTTGCAGGTTGCACACTCAATGGGTCTGAAGATGGACTTTGAGATGTACTGTTCACTTTTTCACTCAGCTTTCTCACTTCATCCTGCAGAGCAAGACTGTTTTTCTGTAGCAGTGAATACTTTTCTTCTAAACTCACTTCTTTCATGGTTTCCTGAATGTCTCTGAGCTTATCCATCTGTAGCAGCCATAGTCTCTGTGACACTGTCTCTGCTAACTCCTCAAGCTCCTGCATGTCCGCTGCGGCTGCGACCCGTCGTCATCACTCAAAAATCTCCGTGCGCGTTCTTGTCACACCGTACACAACGCTAATCATCCCAGCGGTGCCTCCAATATTTGTTGCACACTTGTACACAAAGAACCAAGCGTGCATGGGTTTTATGATTATTCTTTTACTTCGGTCTGAAACACAGAGACACAAACGCATCAACTCAGCATGGCTGCACACTCTCGGACATCTGGGCAGCTGAGCAACGCATGGCATCACAGATCTGCTAATCAAAGATGATGCTTATGACTCTCTCACACACTTATATAAATATTCTGCGCACACACACACACAGTAAATATTAAAGAAGGCTAACTGTGGATTTCCTACTGTCACTTTTATCACTTTTGCTCACCTGAAACACAGAGACACAAACACATCAACTCAGCGTGGCTGCACACTCTCGGATATCTGGGTCGACTGAGCTATGCATGGCATCAAAGACCCCTTGTGCTGCCCAGTACAGTACTTCGTAGAGCACCCTTTTGCTGTTATGACCTGCTGCAAACGTGATGTGTAGCCAGACACCAGCCTTTGGCAGCGTTCCTGAGGAATCTTAGCCCATTCCTCATGGGTGATTTGCTCCAGTTCTCTAATATTCTTGGGTCTGCGTGCTGCAACTGCCTTCTTCAAGTCCCACCAGAGATTTTCAATGGGGTTTGTTAGGTGGGGTTTGTTTCTAATGTATAAATCCAATGAAGAAATCGTGAAACAGACTGGAGATTATAACACCATTTAATCGGCTGAGGTCAGACAACTTCATCAAACAAGCACGCTTCCAAATCACTTGACTGACAAAGTGCTGACAAAGTAACAGTGTTCACAGTGCTGCTTATATTCTGTCAAAAAGGTGCAACCCACAAATTCCTTTCCATTTGGGTGCATCATGACATGACACTGATTTCTATACGTATCAGATGTAGACTCTCTGTCTAGCAAACAGTTGCTGACAACATATAGTTGGCTCCTCTCCATATATAGATCTGCTACTACTTAGGTGCTTCGCTCATATAAGGTTAACGCTTCACAGACCCAAAAGTAGAATTACTGTGAGATGGTTGACACAATTTAAAGATATGTCCACAAAATTATCAAGATGAATGAATCCATGAAAATACGCACTAACAGGGTTCAAGTCATGTGACTGTGATGGCCACTCCAGAATCTTCCAGGACTTCTTCTGAAACCAAGACTTGGTGGACTTTGAGGTATGCTTGGGATCATTGTCCTGTTGGAAGGTCCAACGACGACCAAGTTTCAACTTCCTCACTGATGGCATGACGTTTTCTCCTAGAATTTCCTGATATTTTATTGAATCCATCTTTCCCTCTACACGCTGAAGGTTGCCAGTGCCAGAGGATGCAGGGTGTTCTTCTCAGCGTATGCTTCATTCTTCCTTCTCCAGACATACCGCTGATCCATAGGCCCAAAAAGTTCCACTTTGGTTTCATCACTCCACAGAATAGAATCCCAAAACTTCTGTGGCTTATTTATATGGTTTTTAACATATTGGAGCTGGCTTTTTTTGTGCTTTTGGGTCAGTAGTGGTGTACGTCTTGGAGTTTGGGCATGGAGACCTTCAGCGTTTAGTATGCGCCTAACTGTGGAAACAGAAACCTCAGTGGCTGCTGCCACCATGTCTTGCTGCAGGTCTTTTGCAGTCACTCGAGGGTTTTTGATCACTTGCCTTCTCAGGAATCTGGTGGCAGCCATTGATAGCTTCTTCTTTCTGCCACGTCCAGGTAGTGTAGCCACAGTTCCTTTAGCTTTAAACTTGCGAACTATGCTTGCAACTGTATCTCTAGGAACATTCAGTGCCTTTGCTATCTTTTTGTATCCTTTTCCTTGTTTGTACCAGACAATGATTTCTTCTCTTATCTTTTTGGACAATTCTTTTGATTTAGCCATGTTTCTTTCATGCAACCAATTGTCACTGTCAACAAACTCCTTGTCAGACCAGGTACTTGATGTGTTTCAAGCACACCTGATGGAACTAATTGAGCCCTTGATTGGTTGCATCAGGTGTGCTTGAAACAACACTCAATTTGCAAATGTGTGCTTTTATGAGGGATTCTATTCAGGGGGTTGGATAATTTTGACACTGCAGTATTCTTTAAAAAGTGCCACTTTGTGTTGAATATGGAGAAACCAATAATAATAATAATTGTCTAAAGCTCTTAAAATTGTTGTTGTTTGGTTTGTTCATTGCAAAGAGCCGAAAGTTTGTAAATTAGGGTTGATAATACCTAATTTAAAATAAACCTAATTTGCAATGGGGGTTGAATAATTTTGATTGCAACTGTAAATGGAAGTCAGTCTTTCGTGACACTCTCTGCACAACAACAGTTTATTACATGACATACATCTCCCTCTTCATGTCATGTGTGAGTAACAGACATCACTGGCCAGGTGACACCTGAAGTTCTACTCCGCCATTGTTGCGGGTTAGTATCTTGGACTGCAAGGTGAAAACCCTGTTACTACCAATAACCCATTTTATACAGACCCACATACACAACTGTATGCCTCACACAAATCTCAGTGTCTTTAAATGTGTTAGCGGCCTACTTTCTGGTACTAAACTTAATATATCAAGTGCATTTACATCCTATGCTACATGAATTTACATTTGAACACTAACCTTAAGTGTTTCCATGTATTTACTTTTTTTTTCTGTCACTACCATGAACTTAACATGTGACTCTAAACTTGTCTTTCACTTCCTCTCGTAAAAATTACTGATTTCTATGTGTAACTGATGGTTGACCTAATGTGTTGTATGTCAGTGTTTTAGGTGGGTTTCTTTGTTGCAAAGGATATTTTCTTGTAGAAGCTGGCTGCGTCTCAGGTTCTCTCTCGTCTGCTTCATCAGATTTGACCAGTCTATGGATTTGACCCACAAATGTACCAACTAAAATATCATGGTGCCTTTGTACAGG